ATTAGGCATAGGTTGCAAAACTTGTTACGAGAACTGGTACTTTCCTTTCGCAAGTTGTTATTCATATTACATGTTCAGTAAAATTATGAGCGAATAGATTAAAAACAGCTCCAAATAAACAAATTATAAATCTCTTGAAAATAGATTGAAAATCTCCTGAAAACAAGTTGCAAATTCCATTTAGTAGATACTAAATTTCACTACACAAATTGTGAATCCTAGTACATGTTTAGTAAAATTATGTGCAAATGGATGAAAAATAGTTGCAAATAACTGCGCAATAACGGTGACTAAATGTAAACAAATTATGTATACAATCACAAGTCAAATATTATAACAATAGTTGGACAATGCATTTTTGTGCACCAGTGCTACGTGCTTAATCTACCTAACATTTGCTACTGTCATAGATGTCATTTTTTTGGTTATTATGGTGGGTTGTTTTAATGAAAGCAACATCAATGATTCTTCATGCCTTGAATTGAGGTTATGATTAAATGGCCACTATATTAGGTTTCACCATAATTCAGCAACATATTTGTCACGGTAATCAAGCATCACACTAGGCTCTCATTTGCTCAGTCATGTACTAACACATGAACATCACAATCTCACCTGCGCATGAAAACATATAACTCCTTCTCCAACCTAAAAAATTCTTTTCAAAATAACATGTGCCCATTCTTCACTTCTTTACCTGGCTCTCCTTCTAATACCATTTTTTCCTTATGGAAAAACAAAACTGTTCATGGTCATTCATTGTATTATATTTCCTTTACAACAGTTTAGTCAATTGTAGTACATTTCATTAACAAATAAAGTAAATTCCATAACCTACTCAACTTAATTACCATAACAAATCTAGTCAAGTTCCATTAACAAATGAATTCAATTGCAATAATAAGTCAACTTCCTTGGCTTTACACAAAAGTTATATTACCAACACAAGTATAGTCATTTACATGCCAAGTGTTATTATTTTAATGTAAAAGCAACTAATACAATTTACTACTCAGCTAACAAAATTTACTGCCCAAGTAATGAAATTTATTACTAATTACCAAATTAACAGAACACAAAAATGCTTCACCAAGAACAAGATTCAACTTTAGGATATAAAATACACTAAATATAATTTGCTTTAACTTATATGATTATTAATTATGATATAATTTGCTTCCACTTTGATTAATATAATCTCATGGAAAGCAATGGATCTTCCATTCCATTGGAAAGTAGAGTGTCAAAAAAGCAAAATGATTTTAATAATTGAAAAAGGGAAGATAATAGACAAAATAGAAAACTCTAGGACATTATGATTTAGGACGTAAGAATGAATTTAATTTCATTTTAAGATCAAACTATACCCATCCATAAACTAATAATGTTTGTTGTCAGTCTATGCATTTATCCTTTTTTTCCCCCCCGAACTTGTTCCCAAATATTAAAACTTGCAGGACACATCCAAGTCTACAACCGAGTGAATTTAAGCCATTTTCAAGACTTTTGCATTTCAGAACTTAAATTAATTGATTAGCTGATTCATTTTATAATGAATAATTAATTTCTGGTTTGCCTCTTTCTTTACTCCTAAAAACGCACAGACCCTAGATCTTGTCCCATTTTTTTTTTTTAAGGAAGCACAAAGAGGAATGCTTGACGATGCCATTTTAAATTTCAAGGAGCGATTGTAAATGCTTTATGAAAAGGAATATTCAACACTCTTACCAGTTTATCATAATGGGAGTTACTTTAGCGAGCTCCTTGACAATGGTAATCTCAAGCGACGACAATCTACTTTAGCAATGACAATTTACTCATGTGACGGTGGCAATATGACTTTGGAGAACCCTTTTCAGCGAGTAGAGGAACTTGGGGTTTTGGTTTCGCTGGTTTCACCAAGTGAAGGAAGTCAGGTTTCCACCCTCACAAGCTACACACTTTTTTTCAAAAACACTTAAGGGTATTTTAGTCTTTATGCAAAAATTTTAAAATCCTAGATTCATGCCTCATGATCATTTAAACATTTTACTTATTTGGATTCCTTTTTTGTCTTTTTAATTTTCACAAGGTATTTTCTGGTCATTTTCTGCAAAAGAAACCATCATATCAGGAGACTCAATCTTTTTAGACAGAATTTTATTATTCAACATGTCTAAGGTAACTCATACCAGATATATTGATCTTCTATATATTTGCTTGACCTATATTTATTTCTATTCTGAATTTCATTACAATTAATTTTTTCATTTTGTTGTAGTAGATATGTGCTATGAGATGTCTCTACCGAATATATTAATATATTATCGTAGTAACTTTATTTAAAAATTGTAAGTGTTAAGATGTTAAGTGTGAGCATGGATTTGATTTAATATGTGAAGTCTCACATAGGATAAAATTAGGCTTAATAAAATATATATATATATATATATATATATTAAAGTGAAAGAACTTATATTCTGACCAGTTGTGGTTTCGATTCTGCTCTTTTCCTCCTCCCCGATTGGGTGTTGATTCTCAACGAATATCCATTTTGGCTTGATGAATTTACACCAAATCCATCCTAGAATTATAAATTATTAAACCTAGTAAAACCATCATTAAAACCTTAAAACCTACGATCATAATATAATGCCCTGAACAATAATTAATTTGCCCAATATGAGTCATACAATATATAATAAGTTATTCAAATCTCTAACAATTAAGATCACATTAAAGATTAACAAAATTAAGGGAAGTAGCTAGATACTATGTAGTGTTGATAAATCAGCACATATAAATTGTCTCCATATTCATATATAGTATAATGTATGTGTATGATTACTTGAAGGACATGCTGGTGAAGTCTCGGTTTGTTGCCTCAGGAATTGGATTCCACTCCCACAATCTATCAGAGAAAGAGCTTGGAAGCGAATTGTTAAGAGCCATCGATGTTGATTGCTGGGGCTGCATCAGAATATTAGAGAACTGCATGTAGGGCTGATATTGCTGATGACTTTGAGAAGGAGCAGGAGGAGGAACTGCAGAAGCATAAATGTTATTGTAGTGCTGTAACTGCTGATTATAACTCACTAGCCGATTGAGATGATGGTCATCCACCATTATTGCAGTATTGAGATTTTCGTTTGATGGCAATGAGGAAGAATTAGAAGTAGTGGAGCCTTCGGGGAAGAAGGAGGAGGAGGCTCCAGGTTCTGTAGGTTGAGTTTGTGCTTGCTGCGGCTTTGGTTGCTGCATGAGGATTAACGCTTCGTCCTGATGATCCTGCAGATTGTTGTTGTTGTTGTACTTGTCGGCATCACTTGGACTGTTTTCCAGGTGAGTTTGATTCATTTTATCGACAACCTGGTCCGTTTGTTGTCCTAGGAATCTGATGTTCTGATGAGCCATTAATTGGTTGACGTTGTGCTTGTTCTTGCTGCTGTGTGAATTATGATGTGAAGCTCTTGATGATGATGTCGGGAGATAACGAGGGAGAGAGGGATGGTCGTCCACGCCTGGTCTCTTGTACACTCGACAAAGAGATATCTCAGCCTGCAAAACCATAGACTTTAGAACAAACACGAATTTAAGATCACTTTTGCTCAGTGATCGGCCGGTCAGTTCATTTGAAAGAACTATGAAATTCAAGCTGGAGTTATGAAATGTACTATCAGTATGTACAACATCGATCCAATCATCAACGCAACGTAATTATATTCACGGCCTTAATTAATTTTCTCTCCTACATTAAATTAGGTGGCAAAGAGATATCTAGCTCAGAGCCTGAGAAGAAAATTTCATTTTGGAATCACCCAAATTAAAAGAATAGACCACTGAAAAAACTTGGTGTACAATTAAAAAGATAATGAGCTAGTGTGGAAGTCTATAGGGGTCTCGGTCTGAGGTATATTGACTGCGATGCAGCTAGCTACGAGATTTTTTAATTTGGCGAGCTAGAGAGCTATCATAGCTTTAGATCCATGTATAGAGGAAGAGAAGATTGAAACTAAAGATAGGAAGATCCAGATGAAGATGAATTCTATAGCCATAAAACTAGGGTTGAAGAAGGAGCTTTTGTGCGTACCTTCTGATATCGTTCGGTTTCGTGGTGAGGCAAGCGATACTCGTTCATAATCCAACTGGTTCGGATCCCTTTAGGAGCTTTACCGGAATAAAAGACTAGGGTTTTCTTGAGCCCAATGGATCTGAATCCATCTGTTTTGATCATTCTATCAGCTCCGGTAGCCTTCCAATACCCAGAAGTAGTCACCCGGTTCGGCCGATCACCGTTCCGATACTTCCTATCTCTCGGCACATAGAAGTACCATTCCTTCTCCCCAATCGCTGCCAAACCTGCTCCCTCTCAGCCATTAATATACGCATATGTATTCATCACTCCAAACGATTTATAATATCAGAAATTAAATATTGGATAAATCTGCACATGCCAGAATTGGTTCCTTCAACCAGAGGGAAGCTTGATTTTATATGAATATAGATATTTACAACTACTGTTTGGGAACTGGTTAAGGTTTATCTCAAGCTTCCTTCAAGAGAAGGGAATCAAGCTACGACATAAAATATAGATAGATATATAGATATCTAAACAAATCTGAGAGAGAGAGAGAGAAGGGTATATACCAGGAAGCTCCCAAGGGTCATACCGATAAAGATCGAGGAAAGTAATGAGCTCAACATTGAAAGGCTTGCCCTCAACCTTACGGCGAAGGTAGAACTCAACCAGTTCTTCTTCGTTGGGTGGAAGCGAAACCCAGGCATCACCACGTCCTGCTCGTGACCGTCGTCGTCCTCTGCTGCCTCTGCTGGCGGCTGCTTCCTCTCGTCGTCGTCGTCGTCGAGGTTGTGGTAGCTATGGCTGATCCTCATGGTGGAGGATGAGGTCGAAGCTGCAATTGCCATAAACCGATGATGATGATGATACTGAATATATCCAAAGGAATTCGAGAATACAAGTAGTTTAATAATCAATAGTTGGGATATACATATATTAACAATGCCTTGCTGGTTCGGTATGCTAACTATTAGCTTGTCTCTTTATACCCATAGGGCTCACAGTAAGTTATGTTATTTTTGTATTAATTGGCTGGCGTACTGGCGATAGGGCTAGAATTTTTGAGTAAGTATTATAGTCCATGAAAAATTCTTTATTTTTCTCTCTCTCTAGAAGGAAAATGTGGGGTTGAGTTTGAAGAGATCAGAGAGCTGAGAGTGTTTTTAAGGGCAGAAAATGACATTTCGACAAGAGGACAGTGTGTGCGGCCCCAAAGCGGTGCTCTTTGGACCTTTCTTCACCCAAGTTTTCTTTATGGAAAGAATTTTTTTTTTGAAAAAGAAAAACTTTCTCGGTTTTTGCCATCACAAGTTCGCCAACTTCCACAGTTTGATGATATCATAATTAAAAAGTATATATATTTAACTTCACTAAGGATTATAATTACTTATCATGATGTGTTTTTTTTTTCAAACTAGTTGTCATTTTGCATTAATTTAGCAGTTTCTCATGTTCACACATCAAATCTAGCGATTCGAAAATATTGCAAAGGCCTCTCTATTAGAACATTAAATTTTCTTGTTGGCCCAAAAAAAAAAAGAACATTAAATTTTCTCAGCCAATTCACACATTTCTATATCTTTTATTTTTCTTTAAGAGACTAACCCTTTTAATTATTTATATATATAGCAAGCAGCTAGTTGAGAAGAATTTATCATTTATGAGAAATATGTATTTAGTTTCTAGGACTTGCACATTAATTATTCCTAATTTTTATAACCATAGCATACGCCAGATTAATTAATTAATTCCGGCCTTACTTTCTATAGCTTTCTCCAGTCCTATTACAGTTGTTTGGCCAAACAGTACGCTGCCAGTTATATTGGTCCCGCGTTTGTTAACTAAAACTATTTTATGCATAACTACGAAGTTCAAAATCCACGATACGAGTGTTAACTAGTTTGCACAAAGTCACTTTCTTCCGTTCTGTAATTGAATCCCATCAATTCTCCACGCTCTTTTCATCACAAAGTCTTCAGCACGATATCAGTATCCAAAACGAATTAAACCTTTTTATAAGAAGGAGAACATAAATTTGAGTCCCGGAAAGTGCACTTGTTTAGAGGCTTGATTTCTTAATTACACTGATGAAATTTGTGACAGAATTTTGCGATCGAAATGGAGAAAATGATATGTGAGATATTTACTTTAATTGAATACGCATTCAATTGCCGGCGCCGCCTCCCGGCCCCAATTTTATCATAGATATTATGTTTTAGGAAACTAAATTGAGTGAGAATCATAGATGTAATTGTTGAGCGTGATAGTTATTTTCTTAGTAAGGGAAAAAAAAAACAGAGAGATAAAAAGCCTGCGTTGACAAATTGACTCATTAATTCTCTTTTGGTACGATATGCATCTATAGGACAATGGAAAATATTGAAATTGATATTAAGGGCAGCTGGGCGGTGCATTTGCGGTCACCTCACCTATCAGAGGAATTAGCTAGATCAACGCTTCTTTTTTAAAGATGATATAAAAATTAAATATTTTCATGCAAAATTTGGGCTGGGCATACTTTCTTCATAATTAAAAATTGTAAAAAAATTATATTGGGACATTTCTAGAAAATTAATTATGTGTAAATGGTTGCTGCTTCCTAATGCGGTTTTGGTAGAAAATATAAATGTTGAAGGAGAAGAATAACCCAAGTTTGTGGGTATCCCTCTCTAATTAAGGAGATCCCTTGGGCACTTTAGCGAACATCCCTCTGTTGGAATACATTAACTAATTACCATTTAGGCCTGAGTTTGTAAATATAATTGTCTAATTAACTTAGGCCTCTACTATAAAATTTAATGGTGAATTCAGAATAATGCAACTTCAATTCATATTTCTAATAGTCAATGACCCCCGCCACATAAAATTTGGATAAGTTTGCAGAAAACATAAGGAGATGGTTGATATAATGATTATAATTTATATTATATTGCTAGATACACAAAACTTTTGGCTTAATCATTGTTTCTTAATTAAAAATGAATAAATTATGAGAATGATTAGTTGCAGAAATTTATAATTTATACAGCATGTAGAGCCATGCATCTCGTGATACATTAGTTATATTAAATATTAATAAAAGGATATGGCTAGAGAGATAGGCATCAATCAACATCCCATAGATAAAATTTTTCCCATTTGTTTGCTGCTTCTTCTGTTAGGTATATATTCGCGTACCCTACGCGCACACACACACACAAACTCATTATATGGTGAAATTCAAATGTAAATTTTCAGCTGGAAAATCAACTACCAAAGGATTATATAAAGTAAAGTTTGTAAATTTTAGTGAAAGACAAAAAAATATAGTGCAAGTACAAATAGATGAATAATGCATGTGTATAAAAATAGATAAGGCAAAATCATGTGCATGCATCCAGGTGTATTGAAGTAAGTGCTAAGGAGGTGGGGAAGGTATGTGTGGGGGCAATGCAAGAAGCTGGAGGAAACAAACATTATTGTCACTTTGTTTCTTTTCTTTTTTTCCTTTTTGAAATATGTGTGCGCGTGTGTGTTTATATAATTTTGTATATATTTTGTTAGGTATACAAAACTTGTGGATGAATCAAGAATCCCGTGACTTCTCTTTTGATCTCTTGCCCATGACAGCAATATGTCATACTTTAATTTGCTTCTTCTTTTCTTTCACATCATCATTTGCTAAATAATGTTTCTTACTTTTCTTAGTGACATTATATATATGTATATTATCTAATTTTATAAGATCATGAGTTTAATTAATTAGCATTCAGTTTGTCTACTTTTTTTTCATTTTATTACATGATCTCTTTCAGAAAAATGTGAAACTCATCAAATAACACAACGAAAGTTATTAATTTGGCCAATTACATATCCATACCCTAGGTTAAAACTCATTATAGCATGATTGGGATTAAGCAATATCTGAGTTGCGATGAGTATATCTATAGAAGATCATACCTTAGCTTATACAAATATATGTCCCATCAACTTTATGATGAGGCCTCCATGATGAGGCAAAAAGCTTGACCATTTGGTTATATCTATGAATGGATCGATGTAAACATTAAATGGATAGAGGCAGGAGTACGTTCTGAATTTCTTGTCATAAAAAAGCCAAACCGTGTCGTTTTATATATATTATAGTGACAAATAATCCACCACCCCACCGCCCATCCTCTCATTCTTTTCATAAAGGAATCCAATAACTTTATTATATATCCATCGTCAAATTAGATTTGAGGCCAATCTCTCCACTATGAAATGAAATGAATCTAAAAGCTTCATAATATTGTGAGGTCAGAAATCTGATATGGTTGCTAGTAGCTGGACGGTTGGTATATACATCTGAAATGGTCGTCGGAAGTGACTAGAGATTTTTAATTTGCTTCCTTCATCTTTGTCCTTTCTTCCAAGTCTTCCCTGCGTTGAAATTTCATATCAAACAAATTAGCAAATGGATTCATTCCCCCCAAACATCGATGACTCAATAGAGAGAGAGAATTTTCCCACGAAAATACAAACAACTTCCCTTCAGTGTCTCTCTCTAAATTGACTTGATCACCAAGCACTTACACGTAATATATTACAGCAACTTTTATTTGTCTGTCTTACATTTTAGCTAATTATCTTAATCTCTCACCCCATGCTTCTTTGTAACGAAGTGATTATGATCCTTAGTCTCATAATTCGTCGCATTTATCTATTACTCAATACTCCTTTTATATACTACTATACTTCCTCTTATAGAACACCTTCTAAAAAGTTTCATTGATCTAAGGCATTTGATAGTTTTAAATAGTATTAAATACTTTTTTTTATATAAGCTCGTATTTGACAAGGATAGTGAGAGAGAGAGAGAGAGAGAGATAAAATTAAATCAATATGATATTAGAGTTTAATGTAGTTGGTAAGGATAATACTAAAAATCACTTGAATTTTATAATAAGTTTAGTATTTTAAATTACTTTTTCATTTGTGTGAATTAGTTGAAAATGAATTGTATTTGAAAAAAATGTGTGTAGTTGCTTCACTTTGATTTGGTGTCTGGCCACACATGCTGAGTGAGTTACAGTTTTAAATTTGTTGACCAATTACTTGACTTGATTTGGCCAATTAATTATGGTTGTGGGGCTGTGTTAGGTCGGTAAGGGTTTGGGTTCGCCCCATTAAAAATGAAAATATTTTGAATACCAAGAACCACCAAGGGAGCCACAATTAACAGGTAAAATGTTTTGGAAAAACTCATAATATATATATAGAAAATTAAAATCAAAATAGAGATCTTTCTAAAAAAAACGTAATTTGAAAAATATCATGTAAATGAAATTCGACAATAATATTATGCTAATATAATCTTGAGTCGATTGTTGGAATTGGGTTAACCAAACTAATGCTAATAGCACTAAATAGTTAATTTATGCTAATATCATAGATTGATGAGCATTGATGCTGGTTCCTAAATATTATTATTATTACTACTACTAAATCATGTCAAAACTCTCCGGACATCATTATTTACATTGACGTCACTATAATTTGCAAATAATTAATCTTTTTTATTGATAATCTAAAAATAATCATAATTATATAATTGATGTGAGTGCGAGATTATTGATAACGCCACTCAAACGAGCTATGTAAAACCCATCCATAGCAATATTTTGATTAATTATCAATATCATTTAAATATAATTCATTTAGGTTAATTAATATACATCCACTTTAACAAGAATGATGCAAGCCAGGCCTATACCTTTACGTCTTTCACCCACTTTCCATTATACTATTAATAAACAAGCCAATAAATATTGACTTTCTTGTCACAATTTCTTCGGATGGATTTCCTTCAATAAAATATTAATAAAAATCAAGCAGTTTTCATACATTAATTAATTTTTTAGTAACTAGCCAGGCTAGCCTATGAATATCTTTTTCGATATGGACAGAGCTTGTACATGTAATCAACCAACCT